GGACTCGCTGTCATCTGCCTCTAGTTCCTTCTTGCATATATACAAATATATATGTATATATATATATTTTTTTTTTTCCACCTATTCTTATTGTACATTTCTCTGTGTTAATTTTGAATCTCCCGTGGAAGCCTGATGAGCAGGGCAGATGGGTTTAACCCCCCCCCAACTTTGTTGTTGAGATGTTTTTATTATTTAATATTGTTTTAATATGTCTTGCCTATTAAATTTTATACTTTTATTTCGATCATTAAATTTTGTACCTACAAAATATTTTTTAATATATTTAAATATATATATATATATATATATATATATATATATATAAGGGTTGACTCTCCGTCGAATTCGACGTATGAGGGTCAAAGCAGATCATGGTTCTAGGAAACCGACAGCCCGACAACAGCATCTGAGATTTGATTATAGTGCTGAAGGTTTTGTGCAGGACCACCCACACTTTTGAAAGGGCATAATATATATATATATATATATATATATATATATATATATATATATATATATATATATATATATATATATAAACAACATATTTTCAAATAATGTTTATTTTCCAAGTGCTTTGAATCTCATCTCAGATCACCTTTAATTTTTTCATACCTATGGCTGTTTAATGCGTTAACTAACACCATAAATTCAAAATATTTTTTTTATCTCTATGTAAGGGAGGTAACTTATCTGTTTTTTTAAAATGTTTTTTCTTTTAAATTTATGATTGTTAATTACAGTATATTAATTTAGTATTTTTTATATAACACTTTGCTGTTACAAACCTTTAAGAACTTTGTTACTATACACTTGCTTCACTATTTGCTTTTGGCCGCAATTCTCTTATAAAGGATTAAAACTAAAATAAATAGACATAATACGTTTAATGTATATATATATATATATATATATAGAGAGAGAGAGAGGGACTCTACCTTAGAACACCTAACTGATTACTACAACATTGTACATTTTGTTTCGACGTTTAATAGACAACGTCTCATCAAATAGTTATCAATTATGGTAATATACGATCTTATTTTGGTAGCAATTCTCTTATAAAGGATTCAAACTAAAATAAATAGACATAATACGTTTAATATATATCTATATATCTATATATATATATATATATATATATATAGTCTATACTTTTAGAACACCTAAGTGATTACTACAACATTGTACATTTTGTTTCGACGTTTAATAGACAACGTCTCATCAAATAGTTATCAATTATGGTAATATACGATCTTATTTTGGCCGCAATTCTCTTATAAAGGATTAAAAATAAAATAAATAGACATAATGATTTTTTATATATATATATATATATATATATATATATATATATATATATATATATATATATATAGTATACACTGTTACATTAAAAGGTCTTAGTGATTACTACAAAATTGTATATTTTGTATCGACGTTTAATAAACAACGTCTCATCAGATAGTTAATAATGATGGTAATAAACGATCTTATTTAAAATTACAATTAATGAAGCATTACTTCATTTTCCATTTTTGTTAAATTTTCCATGCAAGAAAAAGAAAAGGATTTTTATATAGAAAAAAGGAAAGAAAATATGAAATCATCAAAAGGGGAAAACAAAGAGGAAGGAAAAGAAAGGCAAAAGAAAGCAAAAGAAATAAACCCTACGATTAAGAGAATAGACAAAAAAGGAAGAAAAAAGAAAGAGAAGACAATATTCAAAATTCCACAGATACAAAGGAAGAGAAGAATATGTTGATATGAATTAAGCCAATGAAATTCTATAAAATAAAAGAAATTCAAATTTGAACGGAAATGAAATGGCAATAGACACATTGGTTAACAAAGTCGCATTTCAAATTTTATGGCATTTTTAATGAAGTCACATATTCAAATAAAATTATCGATAGAACGTAAATAAAGCACACTTTAAGAAGCATTACAATAGTTAACAAAAGCAACCTTACATTATAAATTAGAATATACAATGAATTTTAAACTCTTAATATATGTCAAAAAAATTTTTACCGGACAATGTAGAAAAAGTTTAGGGTGATGCGTTTCATCTCTGCATTTCATTGCACAAGCGTACATAAGCACACGGACGAGAGATGCTGAGATTTTTTATCATTTCGTCACAGGTAAGGCAATAAAGCCACTAAAACGGAAAGGGTAACTGAGTGCGGTATCTGGCTATATATCTGAGATGAGGTATTATGTACACTATTTACATGCCACAGTGTGTAAAGGCGTTGGTTAGATCCAATGACAAGGACCCAAAGAGTGTGAATTCAATACCTGGTTAAGGCGGTGGATAACTTGGAGAGGGGAATTAACAGGAGATAACTGATAACTGACATCCATTAGACATGGCACGTGGAACTAGAACAGTCTACCCCAGTGAGCGAAATAAAGAGTTGAGTTCGACATTCCGACCACCAGAATGAAGCCGGAGCGTACAACGGCCGAAACGTTGTAACAAATATGGCGACATAGATGAGGACAATAGTCCGAATAATGTAAATAGTGTTACTGATTGCGAGAGAATATAAGAATAAGATTGTTAAGGATAAAGAACTATAAAAAAAAAAGGGAATGAAGAAAGGAAAATATAACGTTTGGCATTTTGTTTAAATATTTGGAGATCGAATTTGACGGAACAAATAAAAACCACAAAAGAATTCCATCAACGATAAGAGAGATGGAAATGTAAACATTGAACTAGCAATTTTCAGATGCAAAATGATGAGACCTTGCCGCCAATCGAGTACTGCGTTTAAATTCATAAAGTCTAGCTTGCTAAAGTGGAAAGTTCATTAGATCAATTACCATGAAAATAGATTATTTACTCATACTGCTAGTGTGAAGGCAGCGCAGGTCAGAAATACAATCTAAGCTTTTGGCGGGATTCGATTGCCTGAAGCGAAGAATATGTTTATTCCTGTTGTATGTGACTCATCATATCTGATGGAAAACGCACAGTGTATCTACGCTACGGCGGGTGTGAAAGGGACTGAAGCCGAGATACCAGTTCAGGATTAATAACATTGCAGAATTGTCTTTATCTTTTATTAACAATATACATCTCAGATGCACCACACCAGGTGTGATAGAAATCTTCAATGCGTAGACGAGAGATAGATTTATGAATCTGTAATATAAATTATGACGAGAAAAATGGTCTAGCATGAAATAGTGACTTATACTTCTTGACAGAATAACCTAGCAGCCGATTCAATATAATCTTTCTGCTTCTTGTCAACGGAAAACGTTAATCCGAGAAAGCGCAAGAAGTTATTCTCCTGTAGTTTAGCATAAAATTATATGAAGTTGTGGAGAGCCGTGATCATCGACGTCTATAAAAAGATGGAATGAAGAAGACATTTTAATTATTTTATTTAAATTTATAGAGATCAAAGTTAACTTGACAAATAATAGCCGGAAAACAATTCCACTACAGGAAGTGCGAGAAAGGGAAACGTAAACATAGAACTAAGTTTCCAGCTGTAAAATGATGAGACCTTACCGCCAATCGAGTACTACGGTTAAATTCATAAAATCTAGTATTAAAGTAAAAAGCTCATCAGAACAATTATCATGAAAATCGATAATTTACACAGACCGTCTGTCTACGGCAATGTGGAGGCAGCGCTGATCAGAAATACTATCTAAGCTTTTGATTTCCTGAAGCTAAGAGTACGTTTATTCGTGTTGTATGTGACTCACCCCAGCTTATAGAAAATGGAGCTACGATACGGCGGGGAATGGGACTGAAGCCGAGATGCCAGTTCAGGATTAATAACATTGCAGAATTGTCTTTATCTTTTATTAACAATATACAGCTCAGAAGCACCACACCAGATGTGATAGAAATCTTCAATTCGTAGACGAGAGATAGATTTATAAATCTGTAAGATAAATTATGACGAGAAAAATGGTCTAGAATTGTGACCTATACTTCCTAACAGGATAATCTAGCAATCGATTCAATATAATCTTTCTGTTTCTTGTCAGTGGAAGACGTTAATTCGAGAAAACGCAAGAAGTTATTCTCCTGTAGTTCAGCATCAAATTATATGAAGTTGTGGAGAGCCATGATCATGGGCGTCTTAAAGGGACACGGAACAAGAAGGTACTTCGAATCGTAAACAGTTGCAATTTCTGAAATATTAGGTTGGTGCAAAAATATTGACGTAAGAATGTCGTTTTTTGACGTTAAAAAATACGTCAAAAAACGACATTATTACGTCATTATTTTTGCACCAACCTAATAGATAATAAGGAAGGATTGCTTGGAAAATCTGAAACATGGCGTATTGATGTCAAGACGATAAGAGGGAATCATTGATCATTCTATGGAATGAGCTTGAACCGGAGAATAGATACTAGCAGGTGTTATAAAATCACAAGAGCTACGAAGGCAGGGAAATTGTGGAGAGCCATGATGCGTCACGTTCTGATGGGACATGACACAAAAAGTCCTGTATATTTCTCTCTGTTTAGGTCTCGTCTAGCTCTCTCTACGTGTTAAATCGTGAACATATCTAATAACAACTTTTTTCTCTATATAACCGTACCTCTTTCACTGTATGCGAGGATATGTCGGGTCGGGAGTGTCTGTTTGGGGAGCGTAAATTATGAGAAAGGACACTTTAAAACCTGTGTGCGGAAGGCATGCTTAGCAGTTTCTGAATCTCTTTAGTGTGCGTAAGAGACGATGTGTTTTTCGTTGTCCCTTTCCTTCGGGATTACTGATATCAAATTGACAAAAGGCATTTGTAAATGGAACAATTACAAAGCAAAAATCCCTGGAGACAACATTTTTTTTCAATAATTATGGAGGCTTTCACAGAAGAAATACAACATTAATCCTGTTCATGTTTTCTCTATTGACGTGGGCTTCTGCTTTGGCTATTTGGCCTAACAAAAGACTGGAATTATATTTATTTTTTCCATCGTCCGATTGTGTCTTTTTTTTTTTTTTTTTTTTTTTATAATATGAACATAGTGGAAATAATTAGAAAAGGAAGGAGAAGCCAATAATGGTAATAAAGGAAAACAAATAAAAAAAATGTGATGATGGATATGGAAGAAGGGGAGAAGAAAGGAAGGAAGGAAGAAAGGAAGGAAGGAAGGAAGGAAAGAAGAAAGGAAGGAAGGAAAGAGAGAAAGAATGATGAATAAATAGAAGGAAGAAAGAAAAGAACGAATAGATAGAAAGATCGAATACAAGCATGAAAGAAAGATGAAAGGAAGGACGAATAGAAAGAAAAGAAGGAATCATGGATGAAGGAAAAAAGGAAGAATAATAAGAAGAATGACAGGAAGGAAAGAAGGTAAACAATGAAGGATAAATAGAAATAAGGAAGAGAAGGAAGGAAGGAAGGAAGGATGGATGAATGTAAGAAAGGAAGGATGGATAGAATGAAGTTGGAAAGACAGGAAGGAAGGAAGGAGGAATGGATGGATGAACAGAAAGAAGGAAGAGTAGAAGAAATGGGGGATGAAGAGAAGGAAATTAGAAAGAGAGGAAGGAAGGATGAAGAGTGGAAGGAAGGATGAATGGATGGATGTAAGAAAGGAAGGATGAATAGAAGGAAGGTAGAAAGACAGGAAGAAAGGAAGGATGAATGGATGGTTGGTAGAAAGGAAGGAAGGGTGATTAGAAGGAATACAGGAAGTAAAAAATGGATGAATGGATGGATGAAAATAAAGGAAGGAAGGAAGGAAGGAAAGAAAGAAGGAAGGAAGGAAAGAAAGAAGGAAGGAAGGAAGGAAGGAAGGATGAATGGAAGGAAGGAAGGAAGGAAGGAATCTTTGGTAAGATCGAGTACTAGAGGGAGGGAAGGATGAATGGATGGATGATAAAAAGGAAGGATGAATAGAAGGAAGTTGGAAAGACGGGAAGGACAGAATGGATAAATGAATGGATGAAAAAGAAGGAAGGAAGGAAGGAAGGAAGGAAGGAAGGAAGAAAGGAAGGAAAGAAGGATGAATGGGAGGAAGGAAAGAAGGAATCTTTGGTAAATCGAGTACTGGATAGAAGGAAAGATGAATGGATTGATGATAAAAAGGAAGGATGAATAAAGGAATTTGGAAAGTCAGGAAGGAAAGAATGAATAAATGAATGGATGAAAAGGAAGGAAGGAAGGAAGGAGGAATCTTTGGTAAGATTGAGTACTGGACGGAAGGAAGGATGAATGGATGGATGATAAAAAGGAAGGATGAATAAAGGAAGTTGGAAAGACAGGAAGGACAGAATGGATAAATTAATGGATGAGAAGCAAGGAAGGAAAGAAGGAAGGAAAGATGAATGGAAGGAAGGAAGGAAGGAAGGAAGGAAGGAAGGAAGGAAGGAAGGAAGGAAGGGGGAATAGATGGAAAGATATTGTACATGTAATAAAGAAGTATGAAAGGAAGGAAGGAAGAAAAGAAGGAAGGTGGAATGGAGGAAGAAAGGAAGGAAGGATGGAAGGGAGGAAGATAGGAAGGAAGGAAGTAAGTAAGCATAGAATGAAGAAAGACAGGAAGGAAAGAAGGATGAATGGAAAGGAGTATAAAAGGATGGAAAAAGGAATGGTGAATACAAGGAAGGTTAGAAAGACAGGAAGTGAAGAAAGAAGGATGAAGGATGCATTAAAGAAGAGAGAAAAGAAATAAAAAGAAAGGAAGGATAAATAGAAGGAAGTTAGAAAGACAGGAAGAAAGAATGGATGAATTGAAGTAAGAAATGAAATCAGGGGGAGAGGAAGAATGAAAAAAGAATGAATAGAAAGAGGTTAGAAAGACAGACAGGAAAGGATGAATGGAAGGATTCATAGAAAATCGGGAGATAGGATTGAAAGCAACAAGTAAGAATGAATTGAAAGAAGTTAGAAAGGTAGAAAGAAAATTAGAATTAATGAAAGGGTGAATAGAAACAGAAGAAAGAGAGGAAGAAGGAAGTTATGGATGGAAGAAAAGAAAGGATGAAAAAGGAATTTAAAAAAAAACAGGAAGGAAAGAGGAATGAATGGATCGATGCTTAGAAAAACGGAAGAGAGGTTGGAAGGCAGGACCGTTGAATATATGGAAGAAAGGAAGGAATAATAGAAGGAAGTTGAAAAGACAGGAAAGAAAGGAATGGAAGGATGATCAAAAAGAAGAAAGAGAGGAAAAAGTTGGAAGAAAGGATGAATGGATAGATCGAAGAAAGGAAGGAGGAATAAAAATAGGTTTAGAAAGACAGGAAGGAAAGAAGGTAGAATAAAGAAAGCATACAAAGAAGTGAGAGAGAAAATAAAAAGGAAGGAAGGATCTATAAAAGGAAGTTATTAAAACAGAAAGGAAAGAAGAATGAATGGCAGAGTGAATAGGAAGAATAAGAGAGGAAGGAATGCAAGAAGCATGAATGTATGGAAGAAAGGAAGGATGAATAGAAGGATGTTGGAAAGACGGGAAGGAAAGAAGGATGGATGGTAGCAAAGAAGGAAATAATGTAGGAAGGATGAATGATTAAAACAAGGAAGGACGATGCATAGAAGTAAACAGTGAAGGAATGGAAGGACGAAGGAAAGAATCAATAAACAGGAAGACAGGAAAGAAAGAATAATGACTCGAAAGAAGTAAGGAAAGAAGAAAAGAAGAAAGGGAAACCTTAAGAAAGAAGTAAGGCGGGAAAAAATAAGTTGAATGGAATGAAACCAGGAAAGAATATAAGAAGAAAGGAAAGAGTGATGAACGTAAGGATAAAAGGAAGAATGGACGAATGGAAAAAAAGAAGCAAAAAGGAAGGAAGAATAGAAGGATGTTGGAAAAACGGGAAGGAAAGAAGGATGAATGGTAGCAAAGAAGGAAAGGATTTAGGAAGGATGAATGATTAAAACAAGGAAGGAAGATGTATAGAAGGAAGAAGTAAACATTGTAGGAATGGAAAGACGAAGGAAAGAATGAATAAATAGAAAGACAGGAAAGAAAAATGACTCGAAAGAAGTAAGGAAAGAAGAAAAAAAGAAGGAAGGGATACAATAAGAAGGAAGTAAGGCGGGAAAGAATACGTTGATGAATGGAATGAAACCAGGAAAGAATATAAGAAAGGAAAGAGTGATGGATATAAGGATCAAAGGAAGGAAGAAAGGATGAATTGAAAGAAAGAAGCAACACTAAAAAGTAAGGATGAATAGAATGAAGTGAATAAAACAAATGAAAATAGGAGAAAAAGTAAGACGGAAGAAAGGATGAAGAGAAGGAAGACAGGAATGGAGAGATTTTGTTTGATTTGTTTTTGGGTTTTTTTTATGGCTTATCAACCTATTGTGAATTATTGAAAATCAGGAATATATTTTCGAATCTATGAATAATTGTTTTATTATTATTATTATTTTGCTAGTGAATTAACTTTTTTTGGAGAATAACAATGATTTCATGTTACACAATGTGTAAGAAATGGATTCCTATCTCTACCAGGGGAATTTCCACGTAAGTAAACGTAACATCCAAGAAAGGAAAAAAGGAAATAAAATATTATATATATATATATATATATATATATGCTTTGTAAAAATAGTTTTGAATAACATGAACAAGACGACTTGCAGGATAGATAGGATAAGTTATAAGAAATGAAAGAATGTAAATTTCATAGAAAGAAGAAGAAAAATTCAGGAACAACTAACACAGAAAAGGAGTCGCCAATATTGTCAGCCAATTCCCTTTGCGGAATCGCCATCAGCTTCCAGGTCATGCACTTTTTAAACCTCCCCACAGCATGTTAACAACCGGTTCGATTGCTCGTATAAGGGTGTAGGTTCTGATTAATAACATTTTAAAGGAAAAAAAATTGAACGAAACATTAGTAACGAAAAGATTTAATACTGTAGTACAGTGCGGCAATTCGTACGACTCAACGCGATTAACTTTCCCACAAGTCTGATCATTTCGATATAGTCAAATTATCTAAAAAAAGACGACCTATAGAGTCTTGTTAACTGCTCTCTATTAATCATCCAAAAGATTCCTCAGCATAGCTGATGCTAACTTCCAGGAAAGAGACACGTTGCGCCTATTCTTGTCTAACGTCCCCGGCTGATATGAAGTTGAAAGATTTTATTAAATCTGTTGTTAGATCAGTTACCCAGAAAGATGTTTCACTGTGTCATGCGAGACAATTTTTCTGTCCTGAATCTGTCACGTTTATAAGTCTACCATTCGTCCATGCTTAGAACATTGCTGTATAAATGGTCCGGTGCCCCGGATGTATATTTAGAGATTCTTAATAAAATCCAAAGAAGAATCAGCAATATTATTGGTCCTATCATATCATCTAGGGTTCAGTCACTTTTCTATCACCTTTTGTATAAATAATTCCGTAGTAATTGTTCGGATGTGCTCCTCGCTATGGTGCCTACACTTTATTTAAGCGCAGATCTAGATTGGCAAGGTCTCATCAATTTACAGCTGAACTGGCTAGATGTAACCATAAGTTCTATGCTAACAGTTTCTTTTCTCATACTTCTCTCTTGTGGAACCCACTTCCGGTTCCGTGCTTTTTAGCCAACTTTGATCCTCAAAAATTTAAATGCAATGTCAATCGCTATCTACCGTCTTCGTGATTACTCTTGTACTGTTCTCGCTACTGTTTCTGTTTCCGAATTCTTTCACACCTAATAACCCATTGCATCTTAGTAACTTTACTGATCTGCTTGAGGGTAAATTATGATTAAAAAATACTATAAGAAAACATTTCACTCATACTGAATGCACGAGTCTATCTTCAACAATTAGTGTAAGGTCATATTTGAGATTTGGAAAAAAAACAAACGAGGCAAAGATCTGAATCTGGACTATAAGGGAGTAACAGACAAAAAGCAAAAGAAAAAACACTGAACACATTTCCTATGCAGCTGCAGAAAGGAATATAAAGGAGAGACAGGCCGCCCCCTCAAGGTAAGGCTTCAAGAACACCAGAAAGCTGTAACACGAGGGGAAGTGGAAAAATCAGGCGTGGCTGACCACATATGGAGAGAGAAGGGGAGATCAACGCCCTCTGTGGGATCATGTTGAGATCATAGACAGGGAACATTCGTAATTTCGTAAACTTAAGGAATCAGCACATATGCTAGGCCACAAAAATCTCCTGGGCCGACCAAGCATAGAAATAAATACAATATGGGAACCAGTAATAAGGAGTGCCAGAGAAAAGAAATGATAACAACATAGTTGCAATATGAGCTCTGGTAAAAAAATGTAATGATAACAGCAAAATTGCAATATGAGCACTGGTAAAAATGGTTGCTGAAGACATTAGGTTTATAATACCCAGAAATGCATACCCAGATGTCCTCAAGGACACATGGCACAGTGGATAAAGGTGTTGGTTAGATGACAGGACCCAAAGAGTGTGAGTTCAATACCCGGTTAAGGCAGCGGAAAACTTTCAGATGGAACGTGGAACTAGAACAGTCTACCCCAGTGCGCGAAATAAAGGGCCCATTCCAACCACCTGAAGAAGGCCGAAGCGTACAACGGCCGAATCATTGTGATAGATATGGCGAAAAAGATGTGGACAATAGTCCGAAAAATGTAAATAATGTACATTTGTTTTATTATTAAGGATAAACTTTAAAAAAACGAACACTATAATCTCCACGCTGAACACCATCAAAAATAAGAAGAGTCAGTCATTGATATGGTTCTGTGAAAGAAGAAGACATAAGGAGAGTAGATAAAGCAGGCAATAAGTTCAATTATCTTGGTCCTTACAGTTCTTCCAATGGGCTTCTTGACTGAGAACCGAAGACCAAGGAATATGGTGTGGGTTACCCGCGGTTCGTATACTCTGGGGCAAGAAATTAAACTGCTCTCATTTAATCACAACAGAGAACCCTTTCTGCCTGCGATAAGTATGGCTGAGGCTAAACTCCACGAGAATAACACCCTACGACTTATTGGTCCCACATTTTACACTGATATCAAGTGACTATATTGAATCAATAGCTGTATCTACTGCAAGGAAAGTTGGTTCACTGTGTCGTGTCAGATAATTTGTTTCTTGTCAGAATCTATCTTGCATATTTATTAAGCTACCTTTCGTTCGTACATTGAATACTGTTGCTATATATGGTCTGGTGCTCCTGATGTACATCTACAGGATTCTTGGCAAAATCCAAACAAGGTTCCGTAAAGCAATCGATCCTGACCAGGCACCTCGACTACATTCACTTTCTCACCGCTACTCTGACTAGATTTTCCCATGAGCTTGAATATGTGCTACTAGATGGGCAATTAGGTCTCACTGTTGAACTATCTAGATGCAACTCGCATTTCTAATCAAACAGATTTTTTTATTGCGCTTCCAGACTGGAGAAGTCCCTTCCGTTTTATTGCTTCTCTGATTATTACAATCTGCAAATATTTAAATGCAAAGTCAATCAGAATCTTCCGTTTTCTTGAAGCCTGTTGCCTTTGGTCGTTTCCTCAACACTCCTCGTTCTCAGTCTCCTCATTCTCTTACACATTCACTGAAAAAACTGTATACCAAATTAAAGCATACATAGATCCTCACCCAAAGTCCCACATATATAGATAGTCACCCACATTAAAACATACATAATCAACTAAAATACCGCATATATAGATACTTACGAAAAGTCTCACATACAGAGACACTCACCCAAAATATCGCATACATACTCACCTAAACTGCCACATACATAGATACTCACCCAAGATGTCATATACATAGATACTCATCGAAATTAAATCATACATACTCACCCAAAATACCACATACACAGATACTCTCCCAAAATATTGCAGACGTACTCACCTAAACTGTCACATACATATATACTCTCCCAAAAGGCCGCATACATAGATACTCAGCCAAAATCTCGCATATATAAATAAACACTCGAATTAAAAAATACTTACTCACGCATAATACCACATACATAGATACTCATTAAAATGTCCCATAAATAAATACACACCCAAAATTCTACATGCATAGATACTTACCCAAAATGTTGCATACATGGATACGCGCCTAAAATTCCATCTACACAGATACTCACCCAAAATGTTGCATATATAGATACCCATGCAAAATGTTTTATACATAAATACTCAACCAAAATTTCACATACATATTCACCTAAAATATCGCATACATACTCACCGAAAATGTCGTATAGATACTCACACAAAATGTCACATACATAGATATTCATACAAAATATTGCATGCGTAAGTACTCACTCAAAATGCCACATACACACTCACCCAAAATGTCGCATATGTACTCACCCAAAAGGCCGAATACATAGATACTCACCCGAAAGGCCACATACATAGATACTCATCCAAAATATTGCATAAATACTCATTGAAAATACCACATACATACTCACCCAAAATGTCACATAGATCACTCACACAAAATGTCACATACATAGATACTCACCTAAAAAGCCGCATACGTAGATACTCATCCAAAATGTTGCATAAGTTCTCACTGAAAATGCCACATACATACTCACCCAAAATGTCGCATACGTAGATACTCATCCAAAATATTGCATGCGGAAGTACTCACTGAAAATACCACATACATACTCACCCAAAATATCGCATAGCACATAGAAAATATGAATTGTAAAGAAAGAAAAGATTACTGAACTGCTATGTAATGTCAATCATCCTATATGGCAATGAATGCTGTACAATTTGCTCAGACATGAAGAGAAACCTCGAAACGACAGATATGTGATTCTACAGAAGGATGATGAGAATTCCATTAACAGAATATATGAACAAGAGGGATAGCCCAAAATGACAAGTACGAATTGGAAATGCATATAAGTTTGAATATCTGGGAAATATTTTAACAAATGAAAGAAAATGTGACGCCGAAATTCGAAGGCGCGTTAGAATAGTGAAGAATGTCACTAAAAGCTAAAGAAATGTATGAAGAATCATAAGATTTCGTTAGAAAATGTACTGAACTATGACATATCCATCTTCCTATATGGCAGGTAATTCTGGATAATTTTGATCACAGATGAAGATGAGGCTCGACACAACAGAATTGTGGTTCTACAGAAGGATGATGGGAATAGCATGGACGGAACCCGGAGAAACGAAGAAATTTTAAGGAAAATGAAAACAAAAAGTACACTTATACTGAGAATCAGAAAGAGGCAGCTGAAATTTATTAGACATAATGAGAATTGATTGATTCGGGGGTTTTTTTTTGCAGGTTATTTAAAGCCGTAAATTATTTTTAGAGAGTAAGAATTTTTGGGAGATAAAAATAATTTACTAAAACAAGCCATACTAATTAACCTAAAGCTGGAGGGAGAAGAGATAGATTCAATACTTTTTCTCAAAGTAATGCACGTTGCAGTCGCCTGACAGACAGATAACATGAAGAAATCATTCAAACCCAGGTTGGAACATTATTATACTTATATATATATATATATATATATATATATATATATATATATATATATATATATATTATTATTATTATTATTTTAATAATAATAATAATTAAATATCAAACATTTAAAATCTCAGGTAATAAGTTTTGTTTCATAATAATTTTTGTTTCATGAAAATTAAATACCCCAGGCACGAATTATTACCTATGTGATTTTAAGTGTTTA